TATAACATCTTGATAGGTGGCATATGCTTCTATAGTAGTGCTGGCAACATTAAATTGGATCATACAGGTTCTATTCTGCATGTTCCACAGGCTCAAACTACCAGAGAGCAGGCTGAGTCTTGTTCCCTCCATTATTCACTGAACCTAACACAATGCCTGACACAAAACACACCCTCAGTGTATCTTGGCAAATTAATTATCCATTTGATAAAAACTCACAAGAGACAGTGTTCTTCTTATTTATTTTTTTCATTCACATTGTCATTTCCCTTAAGTCAAATACCACTAGAAAGACTACTAGTTAAACAGATTGTGTTTATTATTCATTGAAGTAAGTGCAAACAGACCATGAGTAATCCTGGAGTGTTTTAGTAAGAGGCTGGTAGAAAAAAAATTATCATAGGTTTGGCAGGGTGACTTAGAGAAAGTCTAAGAAAGCAAGAATTTGCTGTAGATTAGATGTAGTCAGAAAGCAGGGACAGTTCTATTATTGGAAATCTCAATAAATCTTGTGAATAGGAAGAGAGGCAAAAGGATAAAGCTGCAATTGGTAAAGAAGTAGCAGTCACTCCTTTTGGCCAAAAGAGGGAGTAAGTGTCTGGAATTGTGTGAGTAGCACAGTGACCTTGTATTTACTTATGCTCAGACAAAATTATGCAGTGGCTTTGCTTTGTCTTGTTTTATCATGGTCTCGGAGTAACCTTGTCTGAGGTTGGTATTCTATGACATTTTTTATGCCCAGCAGGAGAGTAATATGGTCTACCTGTGAGTTCAGGCCAGCCTCTGAATGTCCAAGGCAGCTCTTTTTTTCTTTCTCAAGATACTCCTTCAATACCCTATTTGATGTGGCACCAAGAGCCACAGTGCCAGGTTTGTTAGGCACTGGATGTACAACAGTGAACAACACAGACTTGGTCCCTGCCCTCATGGAGCTTACATTTTACAGGTGAGGCTGATATTCCGAAAGACTGGGTGCTTTGCTGAGAGTTCTGCAGCAAGTGAGTGCAGGACCAGGAGCTGAACTATAGTTTGTCTAACTCTGTACCTGGCACCGCCCGCGTCCCCCGCCACCCACCCCTGATTCCCCGTTTGCCATTGGGTGATTGAAGGCTGTTGGCTGGGGGGAGGGACTGAGAGGTTGGCCGTTCCGCCCGCTCGCTGGCCCCGCCCCCACCATGGGTTGTCCTCTGTGTGTGGGGCGAGTGGTAAGGTGGGGGCCTTGGCCTGGCACCACCCAAGATACTAGTCTGGTTCCCTATTCGCCATCGGGCGATCGGAGCCTGACGGCCAGGGAAAGGGACTGAGAGGTGGTCAGTGCACCTCATAGTGACTGGTTGAGTGGTCGTTCTGGTTGTTCTGCTGTTAGGGTCAATTTGCATATTACCCTTTTGTTATATAGGACTAGAGGCCCAGTACACGAAATTCGTGCAAGGGGGGGGGGGGTCCCTCAGCCCAGCCTGCACTCTATCCAATCTGGGACCCCTAGGGGGATGTCCGACTGCCAGTTTAGGCCCGATCCCTGTGGGGGCGACCCTCTTGTGCGATGGTGTGATGGTCAATTTGCATATTACCTCTTTATTATATAGGGTAGAGGCTCGGTGCACGGGTGGGGACCAGCCAGCCCTGCCTTGATGGGGGCCCCGGATTGGGGTAGGGGTCCCCGCTGGGGGGCGGGGCATGCCAGGGCGAGGGGCTGCAGTCGTTCTGGTCTCTGGTCATTCTGCCATTTCGGTCACTGGTCTTTTATTATACAGGATTCTTGAAATGACAAAATTAAAGAGCTGGAGAATGGATTAATGGTTGCCACAAATGAAGAAAGAGGCGAAGGGCAGGAAAGAATTCATTGTAGCTATACAAAGACAACATGAAGGATCCTAGTGCTGATGGAAATGTTCTGTATTTTGACTGTATCCATGTCAAAATCCCAGTTGTGATCTTGTATTATTGCTGTACAAGATGTTGTCTTTGGGGGGGAACAGGTTAAAGTGTTCAGGAATCTCTCTGTTTTGTTTCTTACAACGGCACGTGAATCTACAATTATCAAAAACTTTTTAAAAGTTTGATTTTTTCAGATGTAGGGTAAAGTTTCCTGTTTAAGGAAAGCAACTCCCTGGTTTTATCTTTTGTAATTTTTTTCACAAGGCTTCAACACTTTGGTCTTCACCCTTGGTTGGCTGGTTAACCCCATCCACATTACACTTCGCAGTCTCCTCGGCAGCAGGTTAAAATGGGAAGCATATTGGGCAATCTTCCAGGAAAACTTTAGCTTTCTGAACAAAAGGGCACAGACTAGGTGGGTATGCCATTTTGCTCTCACTCTTTGCTCCTTTGCCTTTTGTCTGCTTCCTGTCTGGAATGCAAATGTGATACTTGGAGGTACAGCAGCCACCTCCTGACTACAGGCAACGAGCAATAAAGGCAAATGCCATTGTGATGATGTCACAGAGAGCTAGAAAGAGCCGTCCACTTCAGAGTTCTATCTATTTAAGGAGAAAAAAGCCACTTTATTGGTTTAAGCCACTATTGGCCAGGTTTTCTATTAGTTGTAACACGTTTCTAATGGATTCCTCACTCACAGGAGATTCTCAGCAAGGCTGATAAATGTTGCCTATCAATAAAACTATCTATTGAAAGGATGAAAAGCATGCTAACTATTTAGTATTCTTTGTGTGTTTCAGAAACCAAATTGCTGATACTGTCTTTTCCTTTCCTCTTTCTCTACAGTATTTTGTGTTTCTTATTCCCCTCAGCTTGGCCTGAATGTGTATTATAATCAGTCTCTCGCTCTCCTAATTGAATTGGGCTTTTGTTGTAGCCAGCTCAGAATTTTTTAAAGGTCTTCCTAAACCATTCCAGCCCCGGGCAGTCGCTCCCTTTTTCGACCTCACAGTACTTAGTGTCTGCACCTCCGAATTGCAATTCATCATGAACTGCCCTGTGACATTTCTCTTACAGCTGTCACAGAATAATCGATGTTTAGTGCTGGAGGGGACATTAAAGATCATCTTCTCCAGCCACCTCAATGCATGTGAATTGTAACTTAACTCCTGGATTTTTCTTATCTCTTCATGGGTTTACAGCTTATCATCCCAACTAGATTTTAAGGTCCTAGAGCAGTGGTTCTCTTCCTAGTGCCGCGACCCTTTAATACAGTTCCTCATGTTGTGGTGACCCACAACCATAAAATTATTTTCGTTGCTACTTCATAAATGTAATATTGCTACTGTTATTACGGACGAATCGCCTGCCCCCACCAGGTGCTGTTCTAAGGTGTGAGGCCCTAGTCCAGGCCTCCCTCCTGCTCGGAGTGATAAAGTCGAAGCCGCCTCCACATGTCATTACTGCACACAGTGGTGCAGGTCACCTGTGTCCTGGCCACACCATCCCCGTGTGGGTTAGCCTGGAGAACACACTCGTAAAGGCAGAGCTGCTGCCTCACGTGGGCCTTGGCCTGCTGATACGTGCTTTCTGGGTTCACTCCATCTTGAAGCCCTCCAGCAGACAGATCACAATGAGGGCGTGTCCCGTATTTATTTCTTCTACCCTCACCCCACCCACCCACCATCCCTCCACTCCCCCCACTTAGCACACATTTATACACCCAGATGTCCGACTTCTCCATCCATCATTGATCCAGCTACATGCCTGTCCATCCACCCACCCGTGCACACATCTTTGTGCCCACTTGCCCATCCATGGCTGCTTCCAACTCTCCCAGCAAGTGCTCTCCCGCACCAGTCCTGTGCCGGTCCTGTGCTAGGGTCACGGGGCATGCAGAGATTAAAATGAATTAAGTTTACAATGTTCAAGAAAATCTTGGTCTAAGTCTGTATTCACTCCAGGTCACCTTCCAGGTGACTATTTGTTGAGCTCCTCCTATCAGTCAGGTGTTTCAGGCACTGGGCACAGATAGACACTGTTACTCTACCCCCTCCCACTTTACAGACGAAGAAACTGAGGCTCAGAGGTTATAGTGCAGTGGTTCTCAACCTTCTTAATGCTGCGACCCTTTAATACAGTTCCTCATGTTGTGGTGACACCCAACCATAAAGTTATTTTTGTTGCTACTTCATAACTGTAATTTTGCTACTGTTATGAATCGTAATGTAAATATCTGATATGCAGGATGTATTTTCATTGTTACAAATTGAACATAATTAAAGCATAGTGATTAATCACAAAAACAATATGTAATTATATATGTGTTTTCCGATGGTCTTAGGCGACCCCTGTGAAAGGGTCGTTGGACCCCCAAAGGGGTCGCGACCCACAGGTTGAGAACCGCTGTCCTAGAGTCAAAGAAATGTTGGCAACTTTTGATTCTATTCAATAAACCAATTGTATCTTTGTTTTTCATCTGCCACATTCCATATTTTCATCTGAGCCTAGCAGATTTTTTTTTTTTTACAAACAGGAAAATATTTAATTCCTTCTAAAAAAATTCAAGAAGAAAAAAGGATGCTACTGGCTTCATGCTCTTATTCCTAGAATCCTGAAACTTTGAGGCTTAAAAGAAATGATCTTGTCCTCCAGATACTCGTAGCTACTCAGAAATAAATTACATAATCTGTGAAGGAGTCCTGGCCTGCTGAAGCTAGAGGGGAGCTAGACAGGAAGGAGAAAGAACATCATCTACAATAAACTGATCAAAGTCATCCCAGGCAGGTGGGCCCTCTGATGCTCTGGTGTGAACCAACACCCATAAAAACTAGGCTGGCCCAGGGATGTTCGCACTCAGTGGTGGGGGGGGGGGCCTCAGCCTGGCCTGCACCCTCTTGCAGTCCAGGAGCCCTTGGGGGATGTCTGACTGATGGCTTATGCCCACTCCCCACGGGCCTAAGCTGTCAGTCAGACATCCTTAGTGCTGTGAGCCCGCTTCTGGCTGAGTGGCACCCCCCTGTGGGAATGCACTGACCACCAGGGGGCAGCTCCTCCTTGGTGGTCAGTGCACATCATAGTGACCAGTCATTCCGTTGTTTAATCGATTTGCATATTAGCCTTTTATTATATAGGATTCAACAAAGCCCCTGGAAGCAAAGCCCTGGCTGGCTTCTCCTTTAAGCCCCCTGCTGGTTGGTCTCATCATCGCGCCTCTTCCAAATCTGAATGTATGTATGCCTCCGACAGTGTGATCATCTGGGGAAGAATGTCAGTTACCTGGAGGTCTTGTAATTCATACCATTTGCCTATCCCGTGATGAAGCACGTGGATCCGGTAGGAGCCCTCGGAGGGCTTGCCGTCGTGCACAATGTTGATGATCAGGTCATAGGTGGTGTTCTTGTGCAGGGCCTGCACTTCCTCAGACAGGCACTCTCTCAGATCCACATTCGTAATAGGGAAGTTGACAATATTTGGGTTCTTCTCCACAAAGAAATTGTTCTTAGTGAATCTCTTAATACAAACGATTAGATACGGAGGCAGCTTGGTGAGCTGGAAGCGCTTCAGAAAGTTCTCCTTGTAAGTCTTATATTCCTTCTCAGTGATGCCGTTGAACTTGGCCAGGATGTTGAAGAGTGGCACCTGGGGGATGATAAGCTGCTCCTTCTCGCCCTTGTAGAGGGGTGCGGTGGGAAGGTCCAGAGTGAGGTACATAAAGGTGGACTCCACCATCGTCTCCTGGTACTCATCCTTATGAAGCAGCTGTTCTTTTTCTTCTGCTGGCAGATCAGGATGAGGAAGTTTTTTAGTGAAGATCCTCATTGACCCCTGGAACACATCAATCACAATAGTTTTCTTTTTCTTCTTTGTGCCCCCCAGAGCTGAGTGCAGAGCATTCAGAAACCAGGACAAAAAGTCTACTCCATCCCCTTGCTTGGCGATCTGGAACGTCTTCTTGCTGCAAAGGACAACAGCCTGAAGCATCTCGTGGGGAGAGACGTGTGCCTTGAAATTTTGAGGGTTCCAGAGCTTTCTCATCCCTTGTAGAGGGGTGCGGTGGGAAGGTCCAGAGTGAGGTACATAAAGGTGGACTCCACCATCGTCTCCTGGTACTCATCCTTATGAAGCAGCTGTTCTTTTTCTTCTGCTGGCAGATCAGGATGAGGAAGTTTTTTAGTGAAGATCCTCATTGACCCCTGGAACACATCAATCACAATAGTTTTCTTTTTCTTCTTTGTGCCCCCCAGAGCTGAGTGCAGAGCATTCAGAAACCAGGACAAAAAGTCTACTCCATCCCCTTGCTTGGCGATCTGGAACGTCTTCTTGCTGCAAAGGACAACAGCCTGAAGCATCTCGTGGGGAGAGACGTGTGCCTTGAAATTTCGAGGGTTCCAGAGCTTTCTCATCAGCTCTCCAAAACGCTGGACCAACAAGAACATGATATCCCCTGGAGGACGCTTGATGTTCTTATAATTGTCTTCTTCCAGGAAGTAGTTCCGAAGAGGAGGAACATTAGACAGAGCCTGAAGGACAGCCTTGGCATAGTCGTTAGCCTTTATATTATTCAAGCCCACAATACCTGGCAGGTAAGTGGTACCATCATAAGCCCGGGACAATTTGGCTTGCTTGTCCAAGTTTGCAATCTGCTGCTTTGTGAAAGTGGGCTTCAACACATACGTGATATCCTCCAGGGAGGAATCGATGATCTCATAGTTGTCTGGAAGGCAGTAAAACTTGAGGGTGTGGAGGTTGAGGAAGACATGGTGGCTAAACTGGACACTGTGGATGTAGGCATGAGACTTCAAACCCCGGCCCTGAAAGTACTTGCCACACACCAGACAGGCATATGCATTGATATGCGAGAGGAAGATGGAACACAGTTTCTCAAAGTCGAAGTCCAGCACACTCCTGTTAATGGTACCCAGGTATGGGCAGTGGCGGCTCCTCCGGTCCTCAGAATCCACTCGGCCATTCTTTGAGTGTGATTCCATTTTGTTGGGGTCTAACCCCAGCAGGTCCAGGGGTTCCCACAGGTGTGGACGGAGTCGGCGAAGAAGGAATGACACGGAGACAGCGTTCAGTTGTCAGCAGCCTTAACCAGGTTCTCTAGCCAGATTCTAGCCAGGATCTCCAGCCAAGTTCTGTGTTCTGTTGTCTTGTTACATCTGTATTTATACCAGTTGATTTTAATCCTATCAATTTCTATTCCAAAGGTTAGGGCGTTTCTTATCTCCATTCCAGGGAGTAAAGATTATGTAGCTTAAGCGTGATTGTTCGTAGTTAAAGTGATTAACTACCTGCCTGGCACTTAGTTAAGGGGTTTTATTCCCTCCCTAACTTCAGGGAAAAATCCCTACCTGGGAAACAACCTTTCTCGGAGAGGTGACCTTGGTTAAAACACAGCGCCAAGAAGGGGAACAAACATATTAAGAACAGTATGCCACATACGCCAGGTCCCTTGAAACATATACTGTGCAGATGTTTCTTTCCTGCAGCAACTCTGTCAAGCAGCAAGGATGGACCGGCTTCCGGCAATTTCCCCCTTTTTTATTTTTTAAATGATAGCGCATGTAAATCAGCAGCCACCTCTCGGATTGGGTTGTTTAAGACTCGGAAGAAGACTGACAAGCAATGATAGCGAGCATAGCTATAAACATAGTGGGTGGAGTGCACAAGGAGCCTTGTTCCTGTAGAAGGTTGCTGGCCTCTTCAGTCAAGGGATTTCAGCTGTCCTCAAGTTGGTGGTTTGGTTGTCCTTGTTGATCTGGCTAGTGGGCAGCGTCATTGGCGATGGGCTTCCCGAAGCGTCAGCAAGTTGAAGGGCTGCATCAAAGGGTCCATCAGGGCCGCGCTTGATGGTGGTGTCGGTGTCTGGGGAGGAGTCACCTGTGCCCTCTGGTTCGGCTAGGGGAATCCAGCTCCAGGGGTTCCCAAAGGTGTGGACGGAGTCGGTGAAGACTATCCACCCTCTTCCTACGGTGGAATCCTATCCCTCCTGAGAGAGTGGGGCTTACCTCGCACCTCCCGCTCAGGCTCGGAGTCTTCATCCGCCTCGCGCTTCCGCTTCACCCGCCCGGCGTGCACCACGGGCCAGGGCCTCGCGCGCACTCGCTGACTCGACCT